GTCAGAATCGGAAGACTCCCCACTACTGAAATCGCAAGTTATCAGCAGGGGGCTGGGGACGGTGAATTAGATGTATTTGTACCTGTTCCTATCGAAAACCGTCTCAGTCCTAGCTAGATGGTCAAGCGATTTCTGCGATCTGACTTTCCGTTTTCGTTTTCTAAACAACCACCAGTAGATATGTAATATTGCAAAGCCAAAGTGTGTATGTTATGATGCTACCTGGGCGGTGGGGGTACTGTACATACGGCTGTAACAGCCGCATTACCGATTCCAGCACAGCTTTCGATACATGCATCGCCATTCTCAAGGGAGACTACGGCAACCTAAATTTTCACTCAGACAGGGGGGTTTTCTCTTTGAGTTAGTTCGTTGAAAAGTTGGAGCAAATTGGATTTATCGCAACTATAACCAAAGTGAGTTTGATAGCTGAGTTAAAACGGCATTTACGTTATCTGCTAATCAAAAACTTAAAGAGCTCCCTTTGCGGAACTCAGTGTGAGATTTCAGATGGGACTAAAAAAGCCCAGATTAGGATGGCGTAAGCTCATTTTCAACATAATCGAATATGAAATAATTGGCTGATGATTTGAAAATATATCACGACAAGATAGTGATGGCCGTCTGTCCGACTGATTAATGAAATACTCAAAGATATAACGGCTTTTTTGCAGACTTCCTACATACAATTTTGAAATCTTTGAAGAACGAAGCATAGGAAAGTTCTCTATTTTTCCAGTCTGGCATCTTTAAACTTACTTGCCCGCTGAATTTATCACTAGCACACAGCCATACATAAGGGGCAGAGTCGGGTCTTTTTCCAGGAACAACTGTTGCAGCACAGAGCTGAAAGAGAATGGGTCAAAAATTGATTTTGAGAAAGAAGAGAAATGAGGTAGTATCCACTATGGAAAGAACTCAAAAGTTCATAAGATAGGATCAAGCCATACCTGTAAGCCCGGCCGAGTTTGATGAGCAATTACAGATTTCAGCTGAGCAGGTGGTGCAGATATTTGTTGGTTGACTGGAAAAACGATATTGGGTTTATTATGCAATGTTAATGTGCTCTCAGAAGGTAAAAAATTCTACATACGCTCTACTTACTCAATGCTGTCTTGACCTCACGAAACGCTGTTTCCCATGCGGCTCGTTTTTCAGCGTTTCCAAATTCGAGCGGAACAGTTTCCATACCATTTCTGGAGAACAAAAGTTGGAGTAATATTTAGCGTAGATGTCGTTTTTACAAAGGAGTTTT